CTTAATTTGGTCCATAAATCAGTTGTTGTTATAAAATATTTATTTAAAAATATATTGCTTAAAATACTGTAAAACTGTTAAGTATTAACGGGAAGGGTAGTAAAAGAAGAGGCGGCGAAATTAAGCATGTCCTCCTGGCCATGATGCTGGTTCCGACCCTGTGTCTATTTGTTATTTTGAGTATTAACTTGTAATATGTGATCTTAATGAGGCTATATATGTAACCAGGCAGATTTACAGGTTAAATTTCCAAGAGTTGAAATTCATGAAGGTTTTTTATCTTTTGATTAATATGGAATATTCCATATGTCATACCCAGTAATGGTCATAATTAGTTATAAAAATCATACTTAAGCTTGTTATGGAATTGTAGTGAGGAGGAATACTCAAGAGGAACAGCAAGTTTTTTTTTATGTATATTCAATCATTTTCAATGAAAATGACGTATATCTCACTCTTCTCGACTTTTCTAGTAATATCACATTAGGTTCTTTTCTGACTTCACAAGGTCCTTCTCAATCTTCAGATTTTTTTTTTTAATAAAACAGGTTTCTTCACCATCATGTTGTTTAAGGATATAATCATTCATTTAAACATGCTATGTATTGATTTAAAAAAAAAAAAAATGTTTTACCATTAAATTAAAATGGCACGATTAACTGGACATTGAGTTTTTAATTAATGAATGAGGTATTTTATTCTCTAATTTATAATAATGCAGTTTCATAATTCAAATATCCATTTTTATTTTTTAATCATTTTTATAAGAAAAAGAAAATATTTAGTAATCCTTGAAAATTTTATGATTTGATGTTTTTGTTTTAAAATTTAAGAAGTGCTTAAACTAAACCTGTGTCGAAATAAATAAAAATAAAACTTGTGTCACTACAACCCATAATGAGTTTTGGGTTCCATGCTTTAGAAAGAGTATTGTTTCTAGCCAAAAAGTTGTTCCAGGATCATATTCAACTGCTAAGTATTATCTCTAATTAAGGCAATTTTCTTAAGACTATGTGCCCCAGGAGGGTATCCCAACCCCAAGACCATAAGAAATAAACACTTAAATTATGTAATCATTTTAAATAAAGTTGCAACTTGGAAAGAAATCGGGGCTTATTTTTGTTACAATTAAAAAAAGGATTTATCACTTCAATGAATATACCGTAATGAATGACTGCCTGAAAGTCAATTTCTAAGTTCATTAGAATTGATTTTCATGTCTAAAATTAATAACCATCATCAAATAAAGAAGTAATAGGAGATTATGTTAGCATTGGTTAGATTTCACAAATGGGATATCTTATATAACAAAGTTTTTTTATTTACAGGAATATTAATTAAAAGTTATATAATGACAAAAAATGTAGTGTAACCTTCATAAGATGTAGGACTGATATATATATATATATATATATATATATATATATATATATATATACATTATAATTGTTCCATTGGGTGGTTTTCAAAATTTATATCATGCAATAGGTTTCAGTTTCATTTTTGCTTTGTTTGGAGATGATTATAAATTTTGCATATAACAAGAAAGTAATTCAACTATTAACAAACTGACAATATTTGAGCAAGAGTGGGAAAAAAAAAGATTGGGTTGAATTAAGTTTTTTTTCCTGTCCCTCATTTCTCTAATCACTTGTTTATTAGTATATAAATTTATTTAAGGATTAACATTGTGATAACATATAGAATTAGTCAGAAAGTTTAATGCAAGATATATGCTCACATTTATTATTACGATGATCATTATTGTCCTGAAAATCTATGAGTGTTACCTGAGTTTAAAAGGAATTTATGGGAATCTTTGTTCTGTTAGTCTCCCAGAGTTGCCATTTTGTTTCCAGTCAACAGCGGATATATTTTTCTGGTCAAGTGTCTTTTATAGAAAGAAAAGTTTAAATATCGGAACAACATGATAAATATTTTAAATATATTGTCATGGATCTTCTTTTTAAGTTACTTTAAATGTAATGTTTTAAACATTCATTCAATTTAGTTCCCTATTATAAGATATCCTTACTTAGTAGACATAATATTAAAATATCAAATTTGATGTTCATCCACTTATAAAATTTGCAGTCCACTTTGTCAGTGTCACAGGTCCTGAGTGTTACTATGTAAGTACCATGGTTAATATGTTATACTCATACTCATTTTATCAGTAATATCACAAATATTGATCTAGTATTAAGCAAATTAAACTTCATTCTTATTAGGTGAGGTCAATTAAATGTAAGATGGCAGTGATAGAAAAGAAAAATCATAATTTTGATTATATCTAGCAATAAAATGAAATATCCTCATGGATTAAACACTACATGTATTTAATACCTTCCCTCTGACTTGTAAATCCTTCAGTGTGTTTAAAAAAATCATTGCATCGATTTAAAACCTGTGCATTGATTTAAAAACTGCATTGGAAAACCGTAAAGAAAAAAATCACTAACTTTGCGAATTGAATTAAAACATAGTAATGCATACTAACAAAATGTGTTTTAATTATTTCAAGACATTTTATATTTGCTCATAAGTATTTCTGAACTGTGTTGCTTAGGCAACTTTCCAAATTTAATTAAAGTAAAAGCAAATAACCCTAATGACAAATAACATAGGCAACATTTGATTTATTTTGGCAGTGGACTGTATTTTGATGAAGTGGTAGGTTATATGAATTGTGTAAAATAAACTCTTCCTTTTATGCTGGCATAGACATCTTACTTAACTAAGAGGCTCCTCCAGTCTGCTCTAGTTGATCTCTCCGGGAATCTCTGCATTGGAATGGGGTGAGTGCATCTGGTAGCATCAGGTATAATATCTTTCACACAAAACATATGTAAGTAATGTTACATCTTTTCGAAAGTATAAACTAAATAAAAACTATTGTAGTTGGGTATAATATAAATTCTAAACAAACAATTAGGTTGAAGAAAAAGGCTATTTAGGGTTGATAAAATTTTAATGGTAAGATAGTAATTAAAATAATATTTTGTAGCAAAATATAAAATTTCATTTATGAGCAAAAATAACATGTACAAAAATAAAACAGATGTTTGAAAATAAAACTACAAAAAATGCCATTTCAGACTTTGAAGTATTAAAATTAACTTTAAATTTTGAATATATACATACAATACACATTTAAAGATTAAACTATATAACAGCTAACAATATATTTATCTTTTTATTGACTGATTTTTAAATTAAATCAATAAATTGACAAGATTGAAGAAACAAGTTATACAGGAATTACACTCCATGTATTAACATTAAATATATAATATTGTTTCAATAGCAAGTCGCTTACATTATTAGATATGTTTCTAACAGAAATACAATTGTTAATAAGTAGATCCACTCCATTACAAGGGCAAATTAAAGCAGATGAAAAACTTTTTAAGTACCATGTAAGTTTCAACTAAAAAATTAAACTTTACAACTTGAAACAGAGATAAAAGATAGTACATAATTCTTAATATCCTTTTTTCCACATATGACTACAAAGTTAAATCCTATGAAAATCAAATTTTGACAAACAAGGTAAGATCTAAAAACAGTGCACAAAGTATAAAATATAAATATTGTTCGGCATTCACTTTTTATTGTAAAAAAAAAAGAAACAATAATTTTATTTTAAGTACTGTACCTATTAACACAGTCATCAAAGGAAGCGACTGAGAGAGTCTAGAACATTTATTAAGTGGAGATGATGAGTACATTTAATAGATTATCATAACATGAAAAGATGAAGATGAATATGGATGGGCAGGGCATGGTAACATAAAGCTCAAGATCTGAGCATCTCTTAAGCAACCATAAATGCCACAGAGGAGTGGCCCCAGTTTCAAATCTAACCTATTCTGGAAAAGATCTGTGGTCCTCAAAATTGAGCTTGTTTCTCCATGGCCGATAATAGTCACTCCACAACAGAGGGACTAAGTGAGTTCTTAAAATAATTTTAATTAAAAAAAAATAAGAATGAAGTCATGACCCAAACTTGTTTATCAAAATGATAAAATGCTCTCCATAAAATTATGAGTCATTAAAAATTAATTTCTGTTTACAGAAAATGAAAAGGTTAAATTGTATACAAGTAACGCTTGATATGATTATCAGACTAGTACCTCCATAGTAAATAAGTGATTCTTAATCTTTTTAGTAATCAGTTAAACCTTCTCTCGAAAATGTGTTTATTTAGCAATCGTAATAAATCTTAAAATAAATTCTAACTTCCCATTGAAAAATGTGTATTCCTGATTAGAAAATCACATCTACTACTATATAAAAGATACAGACAGAATATGCATTTACCTCAGAAAATCTTGCCAACACCCAGACTTCGAAAATGCAAATATATGGAAACCAGTTTCGAATTATTGTGATTAAAGCAACATAAAATAATGTGGAAGTGGAGGTAGTTAATGCCAATGTATCCTACAGCCTTGTTACTAGTATTGTTACTTAACTTATTCCGATTTGAAAACATCTCTGGATTTAATGAAAGTTTTATCTCACAATCATAAGAACCACCAATCAAAAATAAATACCCAAATAAGAAACTTTATATTAGAAACCAACAATTTTAAAATAGCTATGATGACGTTACTTAAATGATATTTTTGTGACCAAATCAGAATTGCCTTTTTGAAATTTTATTAAAGAACCTATAATGGAGAAAACAGAACTTTATGAACATCAATTTAGATGTTAAAAGAAACATCTAAAAGAAAAAACAGTAGGATTAACCGGGTAAAACATTTATCATTTATATGATTGACAATATATTATTTATGTTTATTTCACTTATGAAATCAACTGCAAGCTGTATCTGAGACTGGGAGAAAAATATTTCTTAAAGAAAATCCTTCATTCCTTTAGAAGCAAATATTGTTAATATTTGGGAACAAGTGTAGTAATATAATGAATAACCACAATATTATAACAATAGTAGATAGCGATGGATAGTTAAAACTTCTCAGTAATTTAGGGAGGAGCTGATGATAATTGATTTAACCATTAATGACCACAATAAATTTGCCCAAGCTCCTTCTTAAAGGCTTCAGCTATTTATTTAAATTGGTTAATACTAAACACCAATAGACTACAAACATCAATGAACTTCAATGGACAATCTACTTAACAAGTATAAGATTATTAATAACGGAATATATGTTACTTGATTCCTAATATACAGGAAATTTTCTAACATCAAACATCAAGGTATATCCATAAGTTTGCCAAACAATAGTGAGTACCCATAGGCTCAAGTATATAGATGAGACATTTGGATTGACTGGAGGAAGCTTCCTTATGTTTGAGGCCGATCCAGTGTAGTGTATGTTTTGGGACAAAAATCAAAGGCATTGTTTGCCATATAAGCGCTAGTGTTGTTTGAGAAATGTCTATAGATAAATACGTTTCTGCTCCATTTTCATTGTTTCTTTTTTTAACATATGTGGTTTATATCAAATGAAATAACCATCATATCTTTGCCATGCTTATTTCAGCATGTGGGTACAAGGTTTGCTGTTTTTTTCTACCAAGTATTTGCAGATGTTTGAAGAGTGTGTGGGTGTACCACAGAACAAGTTAACAAACAAATTTAATAGAAATTATGTGATTATATTTAAAATGATAGTGTCATAGATCGCACATGAAATTACATTTACAAAGGTATTTTCTTCCAGTAAACTTAATAACATTATTTTAATACCTGTAATAGTTTCATATTTTTATTTTTTAACAATAAAATTGACTGATTAAATTTTAAATTCCTATCTTTGATGCCAGTACAATAAATTATCAGTAAATTGTGTACCTGATCCATAGAATAAAAAAAAATTAGCAAGCTAGAAATAAAATTAAAACAACAAACAAATAAATCACAGCCATTGAAGATAATATAATGGTAAAAGAAAAAAGATAACTAGCAAAATACTAAACAAAAAAATGTATTTTCAAATAAGTTATTTATATAATTACACATAAGGTAACTATAAAACTATAATTCTAATTTGTTGCGATGGCATATAGTTTCCCAATAGCCTTTTTAATTGTCTTAATATTGAGCCTAAACCATAACAAAACAAGACCTTTAAACCAATGAAAAGGTCAAAGATCAATGAGAATTAATTATTTTCATTCAAAGAACTAGTTAATTTAATTTTGTTAATCTTATCACAAATAACATTAATGACTAGAATAAAAATATGCCTTTTCATTAAAATTGCAATTAATTTGTGCTGGCTTATCAAAAAGCAAATGAAATAATTAACAAGAACAAAAAACGCTTGCCATATTTTCTCTCAATAATATTTGTCTTCATTTTAACTAATACATATAGTTTAATTATTAAGAAAAGAGTCTAAATTAATTTGAACTGAATCGAAACCTTCTGAACTGACTTATCAGCACTGTCTGCTCTTAATAAAACCCCAATTTAATTTATTTATCCCAATCTTATTAAAAATATGTACAAGTAGATTCATAATCTACATCATACAAAACCTTGACCAAATCCTTCACTAAACTTCACATCTAAATAATAAAAAAAAAAATATTACTCAATTAAAAATAAAAAAGACTTTAAGTATGAACTGGTGGGAGTTTCATAGCACGCCTTTTCATAAGAAGGAAATACAATGATGGGCAAAATGAGCGCAAGATGATAGCGATTCGTGGTAGAAGTGGAGCCAATGTCAACTCTTTGTCCTCACGCGCAATACTGTAATATATTTTTTCTGCCGCTTCACTAGCCTCATAGCCCCTAGAAGTAGTCTCATCCATCACTAAAAATAATTCATCATATAAGTGTTACATAAAACCAACAAATGAAAATGAAAAATAGACCTTCGATATCATAAAGCAACAGAAATAATGATTTAGTTAAAGATAATAAGATGCGACAATAAATAAATAGCATAACCAGTTTTGGAAAAGAATTAAAACAAGAAAATAGAAGTTTTATTTCAATTATTTGTTTTGTTAATTTTACTTGAATGGCAAATTTCAGGAACCCCACATGTCCAAATTATTATAGAGTTGGACATGAGTGGTTTCTGAAATTCATGCTGATCTTATAAACATTGAAATTACTGGTACTTAAAATATAATAATTTTAAGCAATGGATGTTTTAAAAACCAAATAGAAATTAATTTGGAAAAAGTTCACCATTTTTCATTTAATTGCATTTTGAAGGTGTTTCATCTTAGTTCAGATAGCTATGGGCTGAAACTTCAAAAGGGTCACTCCAACATGGCAAAGATCAGATTGATGATTACAAGATGGAGTTCCAAAATAATGAATATTGACACACACATACAAGAGGATAACTTCGCTTTAATCACATCATAACTTTTGACTTCTGCTCAGTATGATCATTCAAAACAGATCACCACATGGATCCTTTTCAGTTGAGATACAGTCTTTAATTAAATCATGATCTTCCCCTAACTAAACTCATACAAAAAGTTAAATAAACTCCTAACTGGTTCTTTTCAGAAGAAGTTTCAGAATTCCATCTACAGTGTCATCTTATTGGAGCCACTCATATTGGAGTGACACTACACAAGTTCAATAGAATTAAAATTAGAAAGCAAAAATCCACAATTTGAATATAAAAAGTCCTATATACAAAACTCGTGTAGGGTCTTCAATCATGTGATTACTTTAAAAAAATTATAAATCAATACAAAATATATGAAACAATTACCTCCATATTTGTTTCCAGAACCAGTAACTGCATTCACAGAAAGGTTTGTTTTAATATATCCGGGATTTATCACGGTAACATTTATTCCATCTTTGCTTACTTCAGCTCTCAAACAGTCCATAAAAGCTTGTAAGGCATGTTTTGATGCAGAGTAGGCAGATCTACACAGCAAAATATAAATGTCAATATTTTTTAACAATCCTTCAAAAACTGAAAAATAAAGATCATTACAAAACAAATATAACACCAATGATATTTTTACCTGTGTGGAATGGCTATACGACCCTGCACACTAGAAATGGCTACAATATGACCACGCCTCTGTTCTATCATGGAAGGCAAAACAGCTGGAGGAATAAAAGTTAATCTTTAAAAAAAAGGTATTTTTTGGGTGTCTTTCATATATTTTTAATAATGATTAATAGAATATTGAAATAAAGATAACATAGTAGAATTTCTTAGTAACAATACAAATAAACTAAGCAAAATGCAAACTTAGGGTTATAATTTGACTACTCCATAAATTTATTTATATAGATTAAACCCTTAAACAAAACATAAATGATCACTAACTGAATCTCAGAAAATTAACTTTCGGCAATGCTTTTTGCTGTTAATGAGTTCTTAAATGGTATAATCTTGTCTACAATACACATTAGGATTAGTGACATTGATTCATATTGATAGTGCATGGAACGATTAGCAGATATTGGTAGCAATCATGACTGGAGGCAGCCCAATGTGGTGTGTAAAATTATTTTTCTTTCTTCCAATTATCAAGCAAGAAAACCCAAGTCCAAATTCAAATGAAACTTTTTTATGCCTCAAAAATTAAACATATCATACCCGTCAGAAAAACACTGATAAATGGGTGTGAATAAGCTAGCAATATTGGAGCTAATTACTAAACAAAAATTAAACCAAGGCTATTTAATAAACATCTTAATGTGCTCCAACTAGTGTAGGAAGGATTATTCTAGCATAATACTGATTATCCTATGGGTAACCATCCTAACCTACCCGGAGTGGTAAGGTAGAGATTAATTCTGCGTTCTTCAAAATTTCAACCAACACAGGCCAGATTTGAATCAGCATCGTTTCTAATTCCAGGAGGTTTAGGTAACGCCTTAATAATCTTGAACACCAAACTGAGACTATAAGTTTATATTAAAAACATTTTTTGGATTTTAAAATTATAGAAGATGAAGAAAAAGTCTTTTTATGAATTAAAATTACATAATATAAATTACAAAATAATATTTTTGGATTTAAAACCGAAAATCAGACGAGCTACATGGTCTGTTGACAGTCAGAGGAGTCTGTGTTTTATAAAAAAATTACATTTCAATCCATTTATATACAACTAGTTAATAAGAAAATAAGAACAATTATATTCACAATGTAAAAGTTATATAAATATTTAAATTACAAAAAGAGTGGTACCAAAATTCTCCAATTTATTAATTGTTAAATTCTTTGATGAGCATTATTCTATAGAAGAAAGCAGACTTACAGTAATTTACCAATGCTGTCCAATTGTTTCCATCTATTTTTTTTTATTATTTGTTTATTTAGAATTATTACATTCTGTCACATCAAGGACATTTATAATAGTGATCAGAGAAAGCACACTCACACTCTATTTACAATAAATAAATAAATAATACAGAAACTTAATAATAATAAATACAATAAAATAAAATAAAAATAAATACAATAAAATAAAATAAATGTATATAAACAAAAGAACTAACCTAATCATACACACTCGGGCTTGAGTGGAGGATCTGGCCATTGCCAAAACTCCAATAGATGCTTATTTACAAAAGGTCTCTGGGCCACTGCCGCTTCAACCTTCGAGGAGGATTGTAAGGATGGGTGGTGCTGGATAGAGATTGTGCAAGGGGATTTGGATGATAGGTAAGGTTTTGGTGAAATTTGGAGAATTTTTCTGGAATAAGGTCTAGGACAAATGGGATATTAAGGTCATGGTGTAGGATTTTGTTATTTACATAGAACGGAGCATCAACTATTGTTCGAAGGACTTTAGATTGAAAGGATTGAATACGTTTGATGTTAGAAGCTTTTGCTGTCCCCCACAGTTCAAGTCCGTATGTCCATATAGGTTTCAGTATTGTCTTGTAGATAAGTAATTTGTTTTCAATAGAAAGTTTGGATTTTCTGTTTAGTAGTCTGTATAGCTGGCCGTATCGTCGGTTGAGTTCTTGTCTTTTGAGTCTAGTATGTGGGTTCCACGTTAGTCTTCGGTCTAAATGAAAGCCAAGATACCGGACTGTGTCTGAGTAAGGAAGCTGGATGGAATTAAAGTGTACTGGTGGACAGGAACTGCGTCGGAGTGTAAAGGTAATATGTTGGCATTTAGATTCATTAACTTTAATGCGCCAGTTATTACACCAGTGCTCAATCAAGGTGAGGTGGTTTTGGAGATTTAAGGATGCTATGTTGGGATCAGAGTTGGATGATAAGATTGCGGTGTCGTCAGCGAATGTTGCAAGAAAAGTATCGGGATGAACAGGGATGTCAGCAGTAAAGAGGATGTAAAGCACGGGACCCAAGACGCTGCCTTGGGGAACACCGGCTTTAACGGAGTAGATATTGGAAAATTCTGTTCCACAGCGAACTCGGAAGGAGCGGTCAGAGAGGTAGGATCGGAGGACTAGGTACAAGGACTGAGGTAAATGGATTTTAAGCTTGAAGAGCAGTCCGGAGTGCCATACCCGGTCAAATGCCTGTGCAATGTCCAGAAATGCACCCGAACAGTATTCCTTGTTTTCTAGGGCTGAGGAAATATGATCAACAACTCGGAGTCCTTGTTGAACAGTGGAATGTTGGGAGCGAAAACCAAACTGATGGGAAGGAATATTTTGGGATTCTATAATGGGTAGGATTCGTTTCAAAAGGATCTTTTCAAAAATTTTTGAAAGGATTGGGAGTAGGCTAATTGGTCTATAGGATGTTGAGATATTGGGAGGTTTGCCTGGTTTTTGGAAAAGGATAATAGTGGAGTGTTTCCATAGCAGAGGAAAGTGGGTGGTGCGTAGGATACAGTTGTAGATATATGTAAGGAATATGACTGCTTTGGATGGAAGTTGTCGAAGGATTTGAGGGGTAAGGAGATCATGTCCAGGAGCTTTACGGGGGATTAATTTTTTTAATTGAAATTTCACTTCGGAAGGATGAATAGCTTTTGGGGGCAAGGAAAGTGGGATTGGTGATGTAAGGAATTCTTCTACTGTTACGGTGTGGGCAGGATGGGATTCCGGATGTGAAATAAATGTATTGGATAGGTGAATGGCGAACTCCTCAGCCTTATCTTCGTCAGATGCTGCCCAGGAGCCATCATCTCGTCGGAGGGGATGGGAAATGCGGTGAGGATTTAAGATTTTGGTAGTGGTTTTCCAAAGGGAATTGTCGCGAGAAGAAAGGGAGGATAGGTAGGAGTTGAAGGAATGTGATCTGAAGGTGGCTAATTCCAGTTTTAATTTTTTGCAGTAATAATTATAGGAGCAGCGGTCGGTAGGATGTCGGGTACGTTGCCACAATAATCTGGCACGGCGTTTGGTTTGGATTAGGTCAAGGAGGTGTTGGGGTAGAATGGTCTTTTTAGGAATTCTGGAGGAGTCTTTTGGGAAGGAAGCAGTCCAGGCGGCTTGTTGGATTGTGGTAGTAAAGGAATTTACGGCACTATCAAGGTCATCGGGAGTTTTGAGGGATATGTTAAGATCAATTTTATCGGAGATGATTTGGCGGAAAAGGTCCCAGTTAACTGGGCCCCTAATAAATGACGGTGGAGAAGGTTTGGGAACGGGTTCAAGTGAAACATTAAGGATTAGAGGACTATGGTCAGAGGAAAGTTCATTTAGACGTGTAATGGAACAATTGAGGGGACTTAAGCCGCTGTGGATAAAGAAATCAAGAAGATCAGGATTACGGTTGGGATCTGTAGGCCAGTAGGTAGGAGAGTTGGGGGAAAGGAGATGAAAATGTTGGGAATTGAGTGCAGACAGCAGGGTTCGGCCACGAGTATTCGTGGTTCTGGAACCCCATTGTTGATGTTTGGCATTTAGGTCTGCACCCAAGATGAAGTGATGTCCTAAGGAGTCGAGGAGAGAACGGAATTGGGCATTGGATATGGATCGGTTAGGAGGGCAATACGCTGATGCAAGGGTAACCGGAAAGGAAAAGGTTTTTATCACGATAGCGGTGGACTGTAGGAAATCATGTGTAGGTAACGGGAGTAGGTGATGGGAGAGGGATTGGTGTACAATGACAGCAGTACCGGCATGTGCTTTTCCGTCAGGGTGGTCAGTACGATATGTCAGGTATTGTGGTATTTTGAAGTGCTGTTTAGTGGTTAGTCGAGTTTCAGTAATTAGTGCCACGTCAATATTTTTGTCAAGTAATAATGTAGTTAGTTCGTTTGTGTGATTTCTAACACCATTCGCATTCCAAAGGAGAATGGATAAAGGTTTATTGGAAGTCATTTAAGGATTTTTCGCGGGAGGGATAAAATGTGATACAAGATTGGTGAGAAGAGATATCAAAGGAGTAACAAGGGATCTGAATTCGGAGAGGAAAGATGTAAGTAAACTGGTGAGATCTGTGGTATTTGAGGGAGGAGGAATGCGGGGAATTTGGTGTTGATAAAACTGTTGATTAGGTGAAGTTTGATTAGGATGTTGAGGGTGGGGTTGAGAATTTTGAGGTATGTGTTGTTGTTGCGGCAGGGTCTCACAATAAGTAACATCATTCTTACCTCCTAATAAGTGTGCAAAAGACACCGTTGGGTCAATTTTTTTTGAAGGTCCTCTTCTTGATGCGTTAGGTTCTCTTCTTGATGCCTCTGCTTCTTCTTGGGTCCGGGATTTTTGATATCTTGATTTAATATTCTTGTAGATCTGACAGCCTTTGTAGTTCGCTGGATGTCCTTCAAGGCACAATGCACAAACTGCAGGATCCCGTTTCGGTTTTGTGCACTCCCCGGATTTGTGCTGCTCTCCACATTTCACACAGCGCGGCAGATGATGGCAGTAAGTCCTGGTATGGCCATATGCCTGGCAATTGTGACACTGTACGATTTCCCTCTTAGGATATGGCTTCTCTACTATAACACTTGTGTAGTATATTCTTCTTATTTCGTATATTTTTTCGATCCCTTGATTTGGCTCCAAATCTACGAAAAATAAGGGTAGAGGAACTTTTACTCCTGGCTGTTCTTTACTCTCCTTCTGTACATTTGTAATCTGGCGCACTATGAAACCTGAAGTTTTCAATTCTTCTTCTATTGCTTCGGTTGGTGTTGAGGGGTGTAGATTTCTTATGACTA